GTGTACCTCTGGTGCAAATTACTGACCTCTGTCATCATTTTAAGTGGGGGAACTTGCACAATCGGTGGCTGACTAAATACTTTTTTGCCCCACTGTATGTGTGTGTATGTATATGTGTATATATGTATATGTATGTATATGTATATGTATGTGTGTATATATATATATGTATATATATATATATATATATATATATCTTATGCTGACCCTTCCTTAACAGATTTGTTTTTCTTATAAATAAATAAATAAATAGTTTGAAATGGAGAGTCATTTTTGAGCTACTTAGATCCAGTAAAGCTCTCACAGGTGTTGAAAACAGCAGCATACACCCAGCACTGAGCGTAGCAGACAGGCATCTTGCTGCTGTTGTAGGTGAGCAGGATGTCCGTGCTGCCGGTCCAGGAAGTGGGTGCCACTCCGTAGGTGTAGTCACCAGTCCAGTTCCCCACCAAAACACCTTCATCATCCCGAGAGTCCAGCTGCAAGGAAAAAGACAAGGCTTTAGATATCCACTGCTCTGATTAAACACAGGGTACAGGAAAGCAGCACTCATATTAGCATTGCTCTCACCATGGCAGAGGCTACTCTGGCGATTTTGATGGGGTCTCCTCTGTTGGTGATGGGCATTTCAGCCCGGTCCATGATGTACAAACAGGAATCCAGGATTCCATAGTTGAACTAGGCATAAAAACCCTCAGGTCAGTCATAAGACTTAACTGATAAGCCCTGAAGTGCCTCAGTCTTGTTTTCTCCTACCTGTCCATAGTTCCAGTCCCTCTCAGCAATGTCATCATAGGCGCCGTGATAGATGATCCCCATCTCAGTCATCACACACTCCTGCCTCTCCGTCTCATCATCCAGGAACACAGCATCCTCTGAGGGAAGACAACATGCGGGGTGCTTGAGTAGGACGAAAGCCAAACCGGGATGTTACAGTTCAGACTTTCAAAGACGTACACATAAAAAAAGAAAACAACACAGCACACCTGCCACCCAGGGATTGAAGAGGATGTACATGTCCCTGGTGCTTTCCTTCCTGGTCCTGCGGATGCCATAAGGTGTCACCACAGCAACGTACATCTGGTACTTCCCCACAATGCAGTTTGCTGCTGGGGTGATGGCCATGGTGACCACGTTGTCAGAGGTGTTTGTGATGCGGCCTTCCCAAGTGGTCTGACGCTGCTTTGTGGGGAAGACAGGGACGTAGGTGCCCTTGCTGAACTGAGGGCTGGAGCCTGAGGGAGCAGCAAATATCAGCACATTTACATGATCACCTTTAAGTAAATATATTCTGGTGATTTATGTTTATGCAGGTCTGCTCTGATTGTTCCTAAAGCAATAATAATAATAAAAAAATGTGGTTTTCAAACACACCTTCATCTAAAGCAGGGGTGGGGAACTCCAGGCCTCAAAGGCCGGTGTCTTTTTTTTTAGATATCCCCTTGGGTCAACCCACCTGAATCAAATGATTAGTTCATTACCAGGCCTCGGGAGAACTTCAAGACATGTTGTGGAGGTAATGTAGCCATTTAAATCAGCTGTGTTGGGTCAAGGACACATAAAGCCTTTTGTCTAAAACTATTTAGAAATACTCCAAACTTATTTGGAGTAAATATTATTAACAGGATGCAAAACTGAGGTAGCACCAAGAATAGAAATAGAATAATCCTTTAATTGTCCCACAAGGGGAAATTTGGTTGTAACAGCAGCAAGAAAGACACATATACAAACAAACATGACACAGAA